AAATAGAACCGCAGATTCCAGAGACGAATAAGCTTCTTTTTCCCATGTTTGCAACGTTTCGTGACTGTGCATGTCTCAAAGAAGTTTTGCTAACTACAAAGTAGGACCGAAAGGTCACTTTTCTGTGTTCAAAACATAACAAGTCGGTTTGGGTCGCTACACTCATGTCTTAGAGTTGAATTCCAAATTTCACTTGCGATAATATGCTGATAGAGAGTCATGTTAATATTAAACTACCTTTTAAGTCATCACAACGAAATATTTGTGAAAAAGAAACAATCCTGGGAGAATAATATGTCACTGAGTTGATATATAGAACACTGTCATAAAATTATTACGATCGATACCAATAATAAAGTAATTATCATCACGTGTTTGTTACAGATATAAGTCTGATTGATTTACGAAGAAATCCGCTAAAATTCTTGAGAAATAAACAGGTCAGTGTATTTTTCCAAACACATCAATTATTGCTATATGGACGTTAAAACAATACTTTCTAACAAAGGAAGTCCTTTCCATTGAATGTAGTTGGGAAGAATACATATGTTTATTACTCTAACAATAGTTCCAGGCACAAACATTGTACTTATGTGAAGTAAATTACGTTAAAGTATTTGATCCTTGATATGAAACAAACAGTGGATAAGCCTAGTTTAGAAACAGTGTAGCAGGCAATAAGAACACGAAAAGCATGTTAAAATTATGCTGAAGAAGATCAATTTTGATTAAGTAAGACCGGAACCATAGGAAAAAATTTACTACACTGAATGCCCATCTGTTGTAAGTAATGAATATGAGAAAATAGTGTAATGCGTTATGCAGATAAGAACTTAGAAATATTCTCACCCCTATCGTGAATATAAGCGACTTAAACGCGCATTTTCTAGACTGTAATGCAATCACCTGAGAATAAAGGCGATACATGGATTCATCATCAGACAGTAAACAACATCATGCGTCCAGTCCTCAGTATCAGTGGTTACTGAATTCTGTCAGTGTGATCACTCGGCCAGGTAAGCCATCATTGTGATGCATTTTAGATGGATGTTAGGTGTTGTGGATATGCATTGCTCACATGAGCCAATGCCTGTGTACAACTATATTTAGGATACACTAGTCGGATGTAAATGCATCTGTAGTAGGTAATGGTTTCTCCATAAAGACTCGAATCATGCACTAATCTTTTCAAAAAATAAACTGTTATTTATTCTCTAACAGGTAGCCAAACCTGTGCAAAGCGAGTGCAAGTTATTATTTCTTGAAGTTGTTGTACCTAGCCAGGAATCAGATGTTTTGATCTCATTCAAACAGGGTACATCGCTGATAAGCTAAGTCACAAACGAGCTAAGCAGCCCTCTGGTGTTTATATCACTCTGAGCTAACTGGTGGGCACTAATGGTTGATGTGAGTGGCATACAACTATTGATTTTAATAAGTCAGTAGTATGTTTGCATTCTGTGCGTCGGTGGCACAGTGGTTAGGACTCTCGTCAACCATGCACATGGTCCGGGGTTCGAGCCATCGCCGACGCACACCTGATATCTATGGTCGGCCTGCGAAATTTGGGCTACCGATATCCACGCTGAAAATTCCATACTTGTACTAAAAATACAGTGTGGAATCAAGCTGTAATCAAAAATATAAAAAAAATAAATAAAAAAAAATAAAAAATAATTCTGAGTTGATAGTTAGAGACTTCGATTGGAGACCAACTAGTGTCATGTGTCTAGTTCATTATCTGCTACAGACTGAATTCAATCGGTTAAGTCTACTATGGCACTGTCTGTTGACGCCTTTAAGCGAAGGCTGGACAATCATGCAGCGACACAAGGACTGCGTCCAAATGACCTATACTCTTAAAATCCCAATCGCCATTCGGGGGTAGACAACTAAGTTCGTCGTTTTACTTCTTTACATTCTCTCCCGTCTTACTCTCCTGCCAACTGTAACTGCACTTATCATCATTACCTATATATATATATATATATATATATATATATATATATATATATATATATATATATATATATATCAACTTAAAATTTATTCAGCTGTCTGTTTTTACGTTTTGTTTACTTCTTTTTTTGTTTGTTAGTCTGAATAACTTCACTAATTATATCTATTATTATTATTATCTATTTTCTTTTGATGATGATACCGGAGGACTAACTGGTAAAAGGATCAACTCCATTCACACCAGCAACAGTCTTAACACACCTCATACTACAAACCACATATAATTAATCCCAGCACTACTTCTTTTGGAGTCAACCAAAGCTACGGCAGTCGGGTGGCGGGGCGAAGTACGCAGAGGTTTACTGAAGATCAGTAAGCTATACCTCACAGTCAAGAGACGAGCACAAAGAAATCAAATTGATTTATACTAGCTTGTAAAAACGATATGGGATATTGGATATCTGATCACCAACAAGCTAGCTGACTCGCCATCATGGTTCACCCTGAATTGTTATTGTTAAATGGTTGGAGGCAATCGACAAGAAGCCTAATCCAACGCAGGTTTCTGATATATAGACATAATTATCTTCATGTCATTTTGACATGTCTGTTTGTATTTCTCTCACCCCACTCATGACGTCTGAAATCCTGTTGGTTGTTCACTGTTTCAGTTTATCAGTGTCATTAGTGTCTCTCATGCTCTGTCAATCATTTTGATTGTTCTTTCGAGACAGTGAAATCTTTCTCATCGACGTCCAGTCTTTTCTTTTGTCTTGGCATACTGGCGGTGTTATTCTTGTTGTTGTTAACATGCAATTAGGACAGATTAGCCAGCACATTAGTATTAGTTAGTATTTGCTCATAGTCTACTAGTTCGAGGTTCCGGTCATAACAGTTTCGTGCATGTAGTTTGGGACTCACCAGTCAGCAGGGTGTATCTGCATGCAATCTTGAAGGAACAGCTCCTGTCCATACTGTGATTCGAACCCGTGTCACCAAGTGATTTAGTCAGATATGTTACCACTAGCACGAAATCCAGGTACAAGGCTTCCCGCCAATTTTTCCCGACCATCTAATAACAACGACAAAAACTCAGAGATTTTATTCATGAGTGACATATAAACTGTAAATTCGAGGATTAGTAAAAACTGTCCTTTGAAAATAGTCACCTAGGTTCAAGGAACTCGAAAAATCTACTTTCATGTAGTCGAGAGACTGTGGAATGGCTGATAGCATATACCAAATTTAAACTGATGCTATTTTAGTCCCGTGAATTTTGTGCTTTTGTGTCTTTGTAGATTTGTTGCCACACTGTTATCGTATACCCTGAGGATTTTTGATTTTATGTGATTCGATGTTCTTGAAGAAATCATTTAGTGTTGTCCTCACCAGTTACTCCTTGACTAATGTAGAAATGTGACCGTAGAACCAGATGGATAGGAAGCTGTCGAGAAGCGTATTCTTCATTTGTCTCATAATTTGAAGTATTTGTTTGTGGCCATTTAAGTGATCACGAATTGAATTCAGTTGGAAATCCACTGATATCTAGAGGGTACCTAAGACTCGCTTCGTTTCTGTCTGGGACTCCTCAACAATACAAACCCACGATTTCACCAGACAAATTAGAATCCTACCAGAAGTGGTGTATTCCGTCGTACAAGAACAAAATGAAAAAGAAAACGATCAGTGTTAATTAACGCTTTAAAGCCCTATCTAATCGTTTTAACTTGTTCCATTGACAAACGTCTATTTCAAACTTTCCACGACTTCATATTCTTCCTTATTATGCCCAGCATCCTAGATTTACTTAGTGACTTTCACACTTGTCAATCCATCTGTGAATACAATCCTTCTCATTCCACTCCATAGAATTCTATATCTCTTGATAATTGTTCCCCAAGACCACTTTTGTGTTTACACCACACTATTACTATGATTTAATTGCTACTGTTCGACGTTCGATCGCGAACTAACTTCACTCAGTGGCCCGTTGATTGCAAGGAGTTCTCTGGATGACGACTGCCTCGCCGTGTTCAGGACCCATCACAAGTTCCCGCTCAAAACCCCACGACAAATGCAACGCAGTATTACCATCCTTAAACTCAAGTCTAGTCCACCCCCTTTGTTTGTGTGTTTCTCTGTCGTATGCATCACTGAAAACAGTCACACTTGAAAACTGTACATTTTTGTCGACTATGTATACACATATGTATTTATGTGTATATACAACACACGTCACTGAATTATTTCATCACATGTTCTTATTGACTATGGATCTTTTGTGGGTTTAAGTGATAATGAGAACTCACTGATTGTTATTTCACATTGTATTTGCACCACGGAATACCTATTTCGCTGGGATTCTAATTCACCGTTAGGCGCTATCGTGTGCTAAAATTAACGGTTACATAAATGTAGAGTGTGAAGGAGAATTGATTGGAAATAACTGTCCTCCTCCCTAATTACTTTTGTTCTAAATCATACAACTTGAACTTGTCACCTTTTATGATATTTCACGTTTGATCACGGATTGATATCAGAGAGAAAATTATTCGGATTTTCTTTAGTTGTTGACTGGCTAGATGCAGGACGAAATTGACACGAGTGAGTTCTAGTGAGATGTCCAGTGATGACCAGTGGTGTCCACTTGGTTGGAAGAGAAGAAAAATAATCGCTACATATGACACTAGCTGGTACCAATCACGCTGTAAAAAAACATGAATTTGTAGAAATTACAATACATGCAGTGGCCATTGAGTCGCATCTCATTGGCTGAATGATGTACACGCTTAACTTGTAACCGGAATGTCGTGGGTCGGAAGCCAAGTGGGTCTGTAACTCTGATGAGTGGCAGTCTAATCTGATGGAAAATCTTTCCATTACTGGTTTTCAATGGTTCTCTAACTGATATCAATCCGTGATCAAACTTGAGAAACAAATCAAATCCTTGCAAATAAACACCTGAACATTTTATGATATTTCCATATATTTGTGTTTATTAACAAGGTTCTTAATTAAGATACAACGTAAAATTTCACTCAGTAAATACAACACGCATACACATGCACGCACACACACAGACAGGGATCACTTATGAACATTTCCATATTAATATTGCTAATGTAGCATTAAAATATAGAAAGATTAAATATTTAACATCGTGTGTAATTTCAACACCATAACCTTCACCGATAACAACGTGCCAACCAGGTGCTGCTTTCTGATCTAATGTCTCTTTAACCATACGCGCAGCTAGCTAAACAAGCATAGATATAAAAGAAAAATATGAAATCAGTTCAAGAAAACAAAACGATGTAAACTGTTGGGATGCAAGGAAATACATATTATGGCATACCAGTGTTTAATTATTATGCTGATGCCGAAAGTTTGACTGTAATGCAGATTAGGGCTCACATCACAGCACATTTGCTGGTACATGTTATCCAGTCCAAATGTAGCTATTTACGGACTGATAATGAACGGAACCTAGTTAGAGGATCACTGAAAACAAGAGAGTAGTGGAGAGGTGTTTCATCCTAGTTTTGGGACTCTTCATCAGTACGAACCATGACTCTACCAAAGGTCGAACCCAGAAGCTTCAGGTAACAAGGCGAGCTTATCTACCATTCAGCCACTGAAAGGGAATCCAATGGCCTAACAATTCTAAATTCTATCAGTTCACGATATGTAGCGTGACTGCCAGAGTAAGTTCACATGATCTTTAAATCAGTAGTTGAAGATATAAAAACTAATTGTATAATTAGCTATAGTTTATATTCATATTACGATTTCAAGTGAACATAGAGAAGACGGAGGTGATGAAGATAACCAACCAACCACCGCGAAAACAAGCAACAATCATTATCAACAGAATAAATTTGAAAAAATAGACCACTTCCTTCACTTATCTAGGAAGCGTCGTCTCCACTACCGACAATTGCACAGATGATATCAAAAACAGACATAATTGGAAAGGCAAGACAGACATTCATCACTCTGAAATCAATTTGGAAATCTTCTAAATTCATCAGCATAAACAACAAATTTCGGACTTTCAACATGAATGTAGGGTCAGTGATTTCTTTTATGTCGGTCAGAGCCTTCTCTGGCTCCATGATGAAGATTAGATGACTTAACAAAAATAATTAGCATTAGGTAACTCTGTGAACGAACCATTCAGTAACTCAACAAATATTATGAATAAAACACACGATGAAGAGACTGTTAGGTAACATCAAATGCCAGACAAAACGTCGACTGGAATCCAAATGGGAAACGACGAGTTCAGTGTTTAAAGATGAAACGGAGGAGAAGATATGAGGAGGAAATGAAAACCTATCAGTAGTCATGCGGTCAGCTGAAGAAGACTGCATAGAACTGTTTCAAGTTGGATTTCATTACGACATCAGTTGGGCGACCATTGAAAATTAGACAGTATTGAACGGGGGTTTTGGCCTAGTTAAGTACTCTGAATCTCTGTGTTACTCCCTCGTTCTTAATCGCCCTCTAGCTGATAACGTAATGAAATCTAACACGAAATTAATAAAATTCCCGTGAATCAATATTTGAAGATAACAAATTTGTTTAAAACACAAACAAACAAACAACTAACTTCATTATTATTTGAATATTTTTCACATGCTGTTACGCATAATTCAATAACTTCAGTTTGTAATTCTTCATTCATTTCACTGTACTATACACCAGATAAAATATAAAGATGATAGAAAGTTAGACAAAGTAAAGACAAAATCATTTTCACTAAAAAAGAAACGGAAATTAGACTGTATAACTGAAAGTGTTTCCCTTTAATATTTGTTTAGAAAATCGTTAGACCTAAGAGTTTAACATCTTTGGAATTCTGATCCACAGTATTATACGGATCAGAGACTTTCACTGCGCGTCATAAAGAGCACCTCAAGACAAACTACAGACCTTCATTAACAGCTGTCCTGGCCCAATACTCAAGATCAGATGGCCGGCCAGAAAAGATCAGCAACAGGGATCTCTGGCAATGAGCGAACCAACGCAGCAGGAACCGATTGTGCAACAAATAGGCAGGAAGAAATGGAGATGGATTGGTCATACTCTGAGAAAACCATCAAGTAACATCACTAGACAAGCCATCACTCGAGTGGAACCCGAAAGGGAAGCGGCGAGTTCGTTGTCAATGTAAGGTTGACTTGGAGGAGGTCATGTGAAGAGGAGATGAAAGTATGCGGGCAGACTTGGAGCCAGGTGAAAAAGTTGGCAGAAAACAGAAGGCAATGTAGACGTGAGGCTGAAGCCCTATGTTCCCTTAGGAATTCAAGGAAATAATAATAATTTTTTGACAAATAAAGTTAATTCAGGTAGGAATAGTTTGCAAAATGACAACTGATAATGAGATCAAAATTTGGCAATAGTCAGGGAAGTCAGTTTCTAGGAATTTCGACTTGATTTAATTCTGATCACGGATTGATATCAGTTAGAGAACCATTGAAAACCAGTAATAGAAAGATTTTCCATCAGACTAGACTGCCACTCATCAGAGTTACAGACCCACTTGGCTTCCGACCCACGACATTCCGGTTACAAGTTAAGCGTGTACATCATTCAGCCAATGAGATGCGACTCAATGGCCACTGCATGTATTGTAATTTCTACAAATTCATGTTTTTTTACAGCGTGATTGGTACCAGCTAGTGTCATCTGTGGCGAGTATTTGTTGTTACTCTATAAAAATTATAAAGGTAAGGTTCACACATACAGCACACAACTTTCTTCATACCTTACACACAACCATTGGTTCGAGCACCATCCTATGGTCCTTGGCAGATCTGGCAAAAGAAATCATGAGAACAGTAAAAGAGAACATAACAGGCTAGGTGCCTTACTGCCCACTCAAGACACTGGCTGATGGTCACGGTAAAATCCCTAACTGGAAGAAGTAAGAATTCATGGATTATTGAGTCGAGTCCCAGTAGCTCAATGGTCTACAAGCTTGACTTTAAGCGGGAAGGTTCTGTGTTTGAATCCCGGTTGTTGAGTCCCAAACTAGGTTGGCTAAACCGCTGTCTAGAACTATGAATACATTTATAAAATATGAGCACTGTGGCATAATGGTAATCCGTATTAGTTTGTTTATTAGATGTATCACACAGTGAAACAGTATTATTTATTGGTTGATGTTATGAACACAATTTATTGTTCATAATCAAATCACTTATTGCTGCTACACAACTTCGAAACTTTCGTTTTACAGTATTCTTTAGTTGTCTATTATCCCCTGTTAGTTTTTAATGATTATTCAACTGATATTGATTTGTGATCAAACTTGAAGCAGTTTATGAATTCCTTGACACCTGTTGTGAATCAAGCAGATGGGTTTAGATTAACAGAAAGAAGTTCTCAAGAAGGATTGGAAGAATGTTACAACTGCTGACAAGTGAGGTGATTAACACATCCAACCGTTTCACTTTTAACTTAATACTAGGTTTCTGTGTAGATCAATCCTGTAACATCAATCACTCTACAGAGATGAATCACACGCCTAATATACCCAGATCTTTGCTCAAAGTGTTTAGAATTGACACATGGCATCAAACAACATAATCAGTGACTGTTGGTCCTTCCTGTGAAAAGAATTTCTGGTCGGCTTAGTCATATCCCAACAACAATGGAGGTTTTCATAGTGGGAGACTGTTGATGAAAAATCTCAGAATTGACCACAGTAGTAAAGATGTCTTCATACTTATCTTCATACTTATCTATCTCTATTAAAACAATGCATTATAAAATTCCAACAGGAAGAGAATTAGTTTGGTATGACTGTAGAGCCCAGAGTACAAATCACTTGTTTGAAATGATTTTTTAAGATTGTTTCCATAGACGACCTTACTGCTGGCATTTACCATCAGAAAAGCAAGTCGGCACGTACACCCACTTCGGCTTCGACCGCTCCATACCGCTCTCCTCTTTGAAATGGAGAGCCAGTGTAGCCGGCTTGCTGGTCGATTTAAGGAAACACCTTTATGTTAGGACACCTAATTGGAAGCAGCTTAAATTGAAATCGACATTTTAAGTTAATAGATGCATCGGTAGTCGAGTTCATTTCTCAAATATGGATCGATTTTATGATATGAATACGAAATAACCTTGTTGGACAACTTCTCGTCTCATTGGTTAGCCTTTAACCAACTGCCGACCAATCAGCATATTTTCCTCTCTGTGGAAGCCAGATTTTATTGTGGCTAAAAATGTATAAATATTTTTCCTAGTTCACTATTTCCATTCAAACAATTTGGATTCGATTTAACATGAAGTGTTTGTGATTTCTCGAATTTTTCTGTATGATTTCAATATTGTCAAAATCAACTATGTGGCCAGATTTTATATAGCTTGTAGACCTACCTATTGTAACAACAGAAGACAAGGGCTAGGCAACAGATCATTTTATTAAAGAGACCAGCGCGTATTTATATATATATATATTTCATGTACATTATTATAGCTTATTCAATCAGACAAACACAGTTTTCTGATTGGTTGCTTCTTGCTCAAGGTTATTCTGTACTGTTTGTGACTGGTTTCTCAGAAAGTTAAGCCATACATCTGCGAATCGTATTTGCCCACGTTAAGTTTGCTGTGATTGGTTGTTGAATCAGTCTTGTTCATGTTTTCTCACGGCCAATATTAGTGACCTAGACATTGATGTAAATTAATGTCTACCAATTGGCTAGCAGCCTACTCTCACCACACTATGACTTGTGATATTTGAAGTTTTTCTAGGTCATTTGGACTTCTCGGTGATCGAATATATGCTCCATGGTGTTATATTTCTTCTGATCTCAATTTCTTTCCAGGTTTGTTTAATGTATATCGTATCATATTAGAAGAATTCTATTTTATAGAAACAATTAGATTGAGAATCTTTAGGGATATGGTGATTTTACATTGACAAGATTGCTTTGTAGTATGTCTGATGTCTTAAGAAAAACTCTGATGTTGTGTTGATTCAGTACACTTTTGATGTTGTCTGACTTTTTTGATCGATATGTAATGATAGCTCTTGAGATTCATGTCTTAGGAATACATTTTCGACTATATTTAACGTTGGTGTTGATTATGGTAATGAAGTCCTTTGGATGGTTATTTTTGGGGTTGAGAATTTCAGTGATATTTGATATTTCTGAGTCTTCTTGTCATCTATTATCAAAGGGTGTGCCGTCGAAAGAGAATTGCGATAAACTACGCCTTTGCACTGATAGAGTGAGATAATCCTAAGTCTAAATATTTGCTGGAGTGTTTTCTTCCTGAATACAAACAATTTAAAACATCCATTTTCTTTCCTCTTAACTAGGTAGTCTAGAAAAGGCAGTTCACTGAGGTCGGATTCTGTTTCCAAAACAAGCGGAATTTTGAGAGATAGATTATTCCGTGTCTTTAAGAATGAACTGTGAGGGTCCCATTTTAGTATAACGAAAGCATTATCAATGTATCTTAGTCATAATTTAGGTATTAATATGTTTGAGAAGATGTTATCTTCAAATGTATTCATGAAAAGATCAGTAGGATACTGCAAGTTAAAGATGAGATAGCAATTCATCGAAGAAGACATTGCGAAATGATCGCGCTATATCGTGAATTGACAGAAGTTAGACTTCAAAGACCACTGGATCGGGTCCGAGTGGCACAATGGTCTACGAGCTTGCCTTGTAACCAGAAGGTCCTAGGTTCGTAACCCGATGGGTGCGTACTGCTGAAGAGTCCCAAACTAGGACGAAACAGCTGTCTAGTACTCCCAGGCTTTCCAGTGGTTCTGTAACTGATGTCAGCTCATGATAAAATCCTCCATCCAATCAAACAAAATCCCTACAAAACCAATACTTGAAAGTTGTCGTGTATCTAATGTCCAAATTTTTCCAAAATAATAAAAGTCAACTTGGTTTAGACATTATAAAACTGATATAAGAGATTAAGTCTTCTGTTTTAATTGCCTAGTAGTTAAAGCTTCACGCTTTATACAGACTAACAGTAGATTCAAATCCCATCGCGAACACCATCAATAACTACGGTAGATTTACAACCAGTTGATGAGAACTAAACTAGACATAGGCTCACATCTTGGTCTTCACTGCTAGTCACTATCACTCAAATAGTACAGAATTAAGCACACACATTTGTAAATGATAAAATAATAGAGGTGAATATCAATCACCATAAATCACGTTTCACTTAGTTAATTATTCCATTTTGTTTGTTATTTGACACAAAATAAAGTCTTCAACATCGTACAGTGAACACCTCTCAAGTTTAGTATTTTTCTACCATTTTAATTCTTGCACACATTCACTTGATCAATATATGTATATGTATACATGATTTGTAGTCAAATTAGCTTAAAACAAACAATGAAATCGATACTGAAAGAGTGTTGAAATGACTTTTTTTCTAACAATAACTAATGTCAGCTCATGATGAAATCCTGTAACCAATCAAATCCCTACAAACCAACACTTGAATATCAATGAGATTCTCACTAGCTACTTGCCCTATTCAGGTAAGCAGTTATCTGGAGTTCTAGTGAGAAATCGTGAACAGTAGGGTGCAGCAGGTCGGGTGTGAGGACAAATACTGTCCGAAGAAATTGGCTAGAGGTCGCGCTATGTCATGAATTGGCAGAAGTTAGAATTCCCGACCGAAAGCTGCTACCTT